TTGCTGTGATGCTGGATGCCATCTTTATTTTAAATACCAGCAGTCACCCATGGTAGACAGGTTTCAGTGGAGTTTCCACACTAATACAGACTAGGAAGGACAGACTGACCACTTTTAAATAGTTATTGTTGTCGTTAAAGTGCCGTTGAGTCGGTTCCGACTCATAGCGACCCTCGAGAGGGTTTCCAAGGAGCAACTGGTAAGTTTGAACCACAAACCTTGCAGTTTAAACCAACTGTGCAGTCTAGCACATTAACCCACAGTGCCAAACCAGGACACACCAGGACTCCTTTAAACTTTGAATAGTTAGCTACTGAAAACTTTATGAATAGTAGCAGAAAGACTACATCTGTGAAAAGAGATGGTGGAAAAGCTCCATACCATGAGCCAAAACCAGGCCAAGGGAAGACTGTGGAACAGACAGACCATCAATTGCTCGTAAGCATGTTCAGACTACAGCTGAAGAAAATTAAAACAAGTTAGTGACAGCCAAAATATGATGTTGAACATATCTCACCTGACTTTAGAGATCATCTCAAGAACAGATTTGATGCTTTAGACACTAATGTGGAATGACATCAAGAACATCATACAGGAAGCAACTAAAAGGTTATTAAGAAGACAAGAAAGAAGGAAAAGACCAAAATGGATGTCAGAAGAGACTCTAAAACTTGCTCTCCAGCACAGAGATGTTAAAGCAAATGGAAGAAATGCGGCAGTAAAAGAGTTGAACAGAAAATTTCAAAGGATAGCTTGATAAGACAAAGTCAAGTTTGAAATGCACAAACACCTGGAGTTAGAAAACCCCAAGGGAGCACACTTGACTTTCTCTGGTTGGTCCTGAATTGGAAGTGAGACAAAAATTAGGAAAGCTGTCAGTCATTGACCAATCCCTGACTGCTCTGAGCTAATTGTTGCAGACATTGAGGGTCAGGGTTCTGTTGTCATAGGTGGTCTGGCTACTGTCCTTTTGAATACTCCGTTTCTTAGTAGAGTGGATGAGATTAGGTTCAGGAACCACCCTGTGCCCCTGTAGTTTGCCATTGTGACTTGGGACATTTTGCTGGAGAAAGATATCATGTTTGGTCAGGTGGAGGGTCAGAGATAGAGGAAGGCCCCCAGTGAGATGGATTGGCAAAGTGGCAGCATCTATGGGCTCAAGAGTGGCAACAATTGTGAAGTTGGCCCAGGATCAGGTAGTGTTTCATTTTGTTGTGCATAGGATCGCTATGAGTCGGTACTGACTCAATGGCATCTAACAACAACATCTTACCTTTGGTACTGAGCCTCTCTCTCCTCAGCCAGCTTCATGAGGAATGTTAAAATGTCAGCTCTGCTCCCAGGGAGAGAGCTTTTCAAGAGTAATCTAGATTGTATTCAGTGGGACAGCTTTTCACTATGAGTTAGTTGCTGTGTTAAGAAACAAACTCACTTGGGGGTAAAGGTAAGAATAGAATACTGAGGAGATATGACTGACTAGAAGAGAAGACTGACATTGAGATCTTGGAGATTCAGACCCCTGAGTTCAGAAACCAAAAGATATACATAAAAGGAAAGCCTGGCAAATCTCTAACTCACTGTCGCCATAGTCTTTTAACCTCTTCCTATTAGTTCTGCATCATTCAATTCTCTGTGAAGTGAGATTTGCCAAATGGGGTTTGCCATCTGAGCCCATCAATGAGGTAAAGTGAAGGGAAAACCTTTTCTGGTGGTCAGTCACCACTTCATCCCAATGTAACTTAGAAATCAAGGACTGGGTCCAGTGTGTCAAAATGGCATTTGACATGGTGTTTACTTTTACTCCTCTTTTACTGTTTCCCTTCTGCCTCTTTATGAAAGACTTTTTGGCTGTACCCTTTCCCAATTGAATTTGATTGGGGTTGGTTGAATCTTAAAAGGAGGCAGCCTCATTTGCTCCTTAAATCAGTGGAGGCCCACTCCAAGGGTGTATGTATGTGTGGTGGGTAGTTGTTTTCTTGGGTGTAGAACTGATTTAGATCTTTATTATGGACTCCTGGTATGGCATTGTAGAATAAGCACTGAATTGCATACTTCAAGCTGCTCCTCCGAAACCATATACAGTGTCACTATGAGTTGGAATGGACTTAACAGCATTTAGCATGGAGAAAAGATTGAAGTTGTCAAGGACTTCATTCTTCTTGGATCAACTATGAACACTCACGGAAGCATCAGTCAAGAAATCAAACGACGTATTGTTTAGGAAAATCTGCTGCATAAGACCTTTTTAAAGTGTTGAAGAGCAAAGATGTCAGCTTGACAACTAAGGTGCACCTGACCCAAACCATGGTATTTTCAATTACCTCAAATGCATGTGGAAGCTGGACAGTGAATAAGGAAGACTGTAGAAGAATTGATGCCTTTGAGTTATGGTGTTGGAGGAGAATATTGAAAGTGCCATGGGCTGCCAAAAGGACCAATAGATCCATTTTGGAAGATGTGCAGCCAGAGTGCTCCTTGATGGTCAAGATGGCCAAACTTCATCTCTCATACTTTGGACATATTGTCAGGAGTGACCAATCACTGGAGAAGAATATTATGTATGATAAGGTGGAGGGTCAGAGAAAAAGAGGAAGACTCCCAATGAGATGGATTGGCCAAGTGGCAGCATCGATGGACTCAAGCGTGGCAACAATAGTGAGATTGGCCCAGGATCAGACAGTGTTTCGTTCTGCTGTGCCTAAGGTCTCTATGAGTTGGTACCGACTCGATGGAACGTAACAAGCACCAACAGCATGCGAGCAGGAGCCCTCTCTTTTGTTGTACAGTATAATCTGGAGGAGTGAGTAGTAGGTCCTGCCAAGTAAATTAATAAAAACCCCAAAAATTTATTCCAACTCTTTGATATTCTATCTTTTTATGATGGTCCTAGTATAGTGCTTCAGGAAAAGCACTAGACTGCTAACCACAAAGTCGGCGGTTCAAACCCACAGTGACCTCTCAGAAACCCTACATAGGGTCTCTATGAGTTGGAACCGACTCAACAGCACTTAACAACATCAACAGCAACAACATCTTTTTATGAGCTTCATAGATTCCTCATCTCAATCTTCTTTTCCCTTCATATGTCCCCCAACCTTTAAAAAGAGAACAAAGCACCACTTGAAACAATCAATTTCCAGATTCTTTTTTATTTTAATCAGCTGAGACCATAAGAGCACCATTTCAGCACAATCCAATCTTTTGCAAAGTCGTGGATTTAAGTTGAGATTTATGAAAATACCTTACATAAGAAAGAGGCAGAACAGCTAGAATAGTTCTCTCATCTATAATAAACTTGGAAAGTTCCAGAAGCCTTGAAATGCACAGAAAACTTGGTTCTCATCCTCTAGCATTAGGCTCAGGTGGACCTGGGAGAGGCTCAGGAATGGCAGTGGTACCCTGGGGCCAGCCATGGAAGGGCAAGGGTGACTTTCATTACCTGGGGGTATGATCTATTGCCAGGAAGGTGATCTTGCTGTAATGGAGGAACTAGAGCATTGTAAATCTACCCTGTGCATCTGAAAAGGCATTGAGGAAATAGTTTACTTACAAGAAAATCAGGAAAATGGCCATAAGCAAAGCCAGAAAGCTAAAGAGTTTAAGTAAGTTTTCAAACACAGATGAGGAGTCTAGTAAAACTCGAGTTTTGGTGACCTTGAATGTTCGGTCCCACTGGGTCAGGATGGCGTTTCTGGCTCCTTCCCATTTCCCTGGTCCAGTCAAGCGGAACTGGTATGGTGAACATGGACCAAAGAAGATGGTCAAAGCCAGGCGTGGATCCGTCAGGAGCATGGAGAACAGGTTGGGTTTTGCATCAATATAGGTTAGAAGTTCATCCATGTATGGGATATAATCTGATTGTAAAGCCTTGCAGTAACACAAGCCAAACCTTTATCAAAGGAAAATTGGGGACGAAAAAAAATTAGATAAAACAATGAAATCTTAGAACAGAAAACAAATGCTGGTGTAGAGATTTGGAATGATTTCTGCATTCTCTTCACTCTTATAGCTGTCTAATGGTCTCATGCCATTTCTTAAATGCAAAATGGGCTGATATATATGACAAGAAGCTTTTACATGGTATAGTTCTAATTTTCAGGAATTTCCAGCAAACTTACTCTGCAAAAGGCTGAGTGGTAAATAGTTTAGCGTGGATGGCCATATTGTGGGCTGTGACCTAACTATAAACTCTGCTGTTATGGTGTGAAAGCAGTCAAAGACAGAATGGAAAGGAATGAATGTGGCTGTGTTCTAACAACCTTTTTTCTCACTATCGAAATTTGAATTTCATATAATTTTCACTTGCCACAAAATATTATCCTTTGGATTAAAAAACATTTTTTTTTAAAAAAAATGTAAAATCCCCAAACAGATGGACTGCTGGATTTGACCACAGGCTAAAGTCTGCAGAGCCCTGCTCCAGAACAGGGATCTGAATAAAGACAATAGATCTGAGTAAGACTTGATGAATGAATGAGCAGATACTTCTAGTGGGTTTGTTTGCCTGCTGATTATAATGTTGCTGTTTAGTGCAGTAGAGTTGGTTCTGACTCAGTGACCCTATTCTGAGGGGCTGCTGGTAGACTGAGCCGCTGACCTTTAGGTTAACAGTCCAGTGTTTATTCTATAGTGCCGTAAGATGAAATAATGTATCTGGTAAATAGGGTATATTGGGGTCCTGGTGTGGTGCTATAGAATAAGCACTGGACAGCTAACTGCAAGGCTGGCAGTTCAAACCTACTAGCTGCTCCTTGGAAATTCTATACAGGGTCACTATGAGTTGGAACCAACTCCACGGCACTTAACAACAACAACAACATGAGGTAGATTAGAATTCCAATTCCATGTGATGCTAGGTAACCATGGTCTGAAGTGATGATTTCTGAAAACAATAAAACTTCTCAATTTCTTGTTTCCTTCTCTCCTTAAACAAGTTACCTGGTTGTTGTTGGGTTTTGTTTTTGTTGTTTTTTTCCCCTCTAAGACTTCTTTCTCCCAAATCTAACCCTTACCTCTCTTTGCTATTGTTTTATCAATTTCAATTTTGATTCATATAGGTCTACATTGTTAACTCACCCACTAGGCTTGTTTTCTTTCCTTTCGTTAACCTCCTTTGCCATAACACTTGATGGTGGTAATGTATTCACACCTGTAAGACAAAAATGTAATTTACCTTTAGGTCTAGTGGGTAAAGATGTGACACTACTGCTTATTTTTGGGCCTCTACTACCCAGCTACCCATCTGCTCTTCTGGTGGAAATTTTTAGAACCTGAGCTGAATGGTAGTATCTCCTGGTAATACTGCCACCAGTTGAAATAAGGTGCACCTAGGCCATCTCACTAATTATTTGCTATGACAGGAGCTTACAACTAGTTTGAATGAATTTTGTCACTCAATGTCTTAAATTTTTTAAATTTTAATTGAAACAGTTGATTCTGTCCAATAACACAACAGAGACACAGCTTATATATTTTTTGATAATGGCACAAAATCATTATGATCCTGTAACTCAGTGAACAATAGAATGAATCCTTCTTTTAAAGAGCCTGTTGCCCAAGATGGGAGCCAGGGATGTTCTCAAAATTTCTGGTATCCAAAATCATGTGTCATACTGAAAACCTATATCCCACTATTTCACATACTCTTACCTTTCAGTACTCGAACAGCCCATCGAGCTTGCATTTCTCCTGTGGGTATCATCGAGCCCAAGGGTTTGATGAGACCGATGAAAGCCAGAGTTGACTTTTGCAGGTGCGTGGGGAAGATATACTTGTACAGTGATGCCTGGCCATCTTCAACTTTCACTACAGACTCATCAAGGAAGGGAAAAGCAAAGGTGTATCCAGTGGCAAAGACAATGATATCAATGGGTTCTTCTTTTGGGGAGTTTTTAAATATGACTGAATGTTCCTTCACCTCCTTTACATTCGGCTTGATGAGCACTTTGCCCGTGATGATACGACCTGGAAGCTCATCATTTAGCACAGGCTCTCTCAGCTGTACCCTAAAAAACAGAAAGACTAGGAAGTGACCTGCCAGCCAACAACATGGAGAACCCGCCCCCCTTCTCTTCCTGCATAGGAGTTGCTAGTAACAGGAGAAGAAGTTATCTCTCCTGGTCCTGGTGTGGTGCTATAGGATAAGCTCTGGACTACTAACCAAAGGATTGGCGGTTTAAGCCTACCAGTTGCTTCTAAGAAACCCTATACAGAGTTGCTGTGTGTCGGAAATGACTCAACAGCACTTAACACCAACAACAGGGGAGCAGAGGGTTATAAATGCCTCAGGCTCCTTCCACATTTCCTAGGGTCTATGGGATTAGACAAACTTCATTATAATTCTATGAGTTACCATCCAGGCTAGAGAAAGCTTGGTTTTTTTCAGGCAGAAAAAAACTCTGATAGAAAAGCTAACCACCTCCCCTGCCCCCAGAGGCCTGGAGAGTATAAGTGGAAGAGGGTAGATAAGAAATAGAGAGGAAAAATGGAGATGACAGAGAGTGGGAAGAGGAGAGGAAAGGAGATATGTGAAAGAAGACTAAGAGAGCAAGACAGAAAGCAGAAGTGCATGAACTAGGAAGAGGGTTGCATGTCTTCAGAGTTGGCCTGAGTGCCACCTTAGTAAATGGTTAATTCCAAATGAATCTCTTGTTCAGAGTGAACTCTGAAGGGCAGCCAGACAGGATCTCCAGGCTACAATATAGCCCTGTAACAGAATGTCATCATGCACATTTAACCCGTGAGGAAGTAGGAATTTGGATTCTGGTTAATGAGATAAGTCATAGGTTGTAACGGAAGGTCTAAACAGAAATCAAGACATTTTGATAAGTGCAAGAAGACATTGTCATAAGACAGATGACAAAGGACAATAATAGCAACAGCAACAAAAGATCCACTGTCATTTAGTCATTTCTGACTCAGTGCAACCAGATAGGACAGAGTAGAACTGCTCTATATGTTTTCCAAGGATGACTTTTTCTCAGAAGCATACTACCACGTGGTTCTCCCATAGAGCAGCTGGTGGATTTGAACCTCTGACTTCCTGATTAATAGACAAGTGCTTAACCATTGTGCCACCAGGCTTCGTTGAAGGACAACTATAGGATTCAAATGAGGAGACAAGAAAGTATGTTACTTTTGTCAATGAATTCTTCTCCAGATTGTGGCAGGCCAGGCAGTAGTAACTTGTCCATGGTCACAGAGCTCACTGCTGAATGTGTTTGGAAAGTGAGGATCTCAATGGCTCCACAATCAAAGGGAGATTATGGTAATATTTACAGGGTTATTAACAAGGTGAAAGGACACAATTTTACTTCTTGAACATTCAAGGACAGTTATTACTATCAAGTGAATTTGTAAGCCGTTTCTTTTTGTATTCAGCCATGTTGTCTGAATTTGTCTGGTTTGTAGGGGTCACTGGAAGGGCCGAGGTCCCCTCTTCCCAGCAGTACCCACCAGTAGCAGAGTAATTACCTGTCTTCTGGAACTACGCCGTAATTTGTGTGATTGAACCAACTGTTCATCTTTCTTGCAAGCAACCAAGACACAATTGGAGTTGGGAGAGCATTTCTGAACATGTTCTGAAATCGTGTCATGAACACCATGTCCCATGGGTACCCTGAGTCATACACTCGGCTTATCACCCATGCCCCTGCAGTTGTGCTCAGGAACACCTGGAAGAAATCACAGAGGTCACTCAGTTTGGTATGGGAACAGGGCTGGCCCTGCTGAAGGTATACATCCCTGACCAAGTATACATCATAATTCTTTTAATTCCTATTTTTAAATTGCTCTTTTGACATAATTGTATATATAGGGTACTCAAATGCCATAGGATATATTGAGTATCTATGAGGGGACTTCAAAAAGTTCCTGGAAAAATTCCATTATCTATTAATTCCATTTTTCCAGGAACTTTTTGAAGCCCCCTTTTATTACATGCCAAGAAGTCCTTGTGTGGTACAAATGGTTAAGTCTAGCTATGAACCAAAAGGTTGACAGGTGCAATCTACCCAGAGGCAGTTTAGAAGAAAGACTTGGTGATCTACTTTTGAAAAATCAGTCTTTGAAAATCCTCGGAAGCACTGTTCTACTCAGACACACATGGGGTTGCCATGAGTCAGGATCAACCTCAGGAACTGGTTTTGTTTTGTATTTTTATTATGTTCCAGGCTTGGTGCTAGGCACCATGGTGAATGAGACACTGTGGCAATCATAGGGAGCATAAAGTCTCGTGTGGAAAGAGAATGAACAATTGATTGAAACTTTATAACCCTAGTGGCACAATGGTTAAGTGGTAGTTCAAAGTCACCAGGTGTGTCCGCAGAAGAAAGAATCTGCTCCTATAAAGATTGTTGTTGTTAAGTGCTGTTGAGTAGTTCTGACTCATGGCCACTCCTGGTGACTATATGTAGGGTTTCCTAGGAGCAGTTGGTGGGTTTGAACTGCCGACCTTGTGGTTCACAGTCCAGTGCTGATCCTACAGCGTCCCATCAGGAGTAAAGATTACATCCTAGAAAACTAATGGGGTAGTTATACTGTGTCAAATGGGGTCCCTATGAGTAGAAATCAACTCAATAGAACCTAACAACAACAACATACTAATTATAATTGTAGGCAATATGAAGAAAACCTTATTGCCTACAACTGGGAGTTGTCTGCAAAGGGTTTCAACACAAACCATTGTTTGAACTGACAGTAAGAATCAGCTGTACAATTAGCCAAGTGATTTTTCTTTTATATGTTGTCTGCCTACTTGAGTTAATCAGCTGAACGAGTTCAGTTAAGCCGATAGTTACTTTGGTACCAAAAAAATAGAGAGTTGGTTGCACAATTTTTTTTTTTTTTTTAAAGCAAAAATTTTAGCCTATCAATCTGCTACTTGAAGAGGCAAAAATTGATTTAACAGATTTTTTTCCCCTCACCAAAGTGGGGCATGACAGCCACTAGTGTGTATCAGTGTTTTTGTTTGGTCTTACAACATAATGGAGCAATAGGTGCCATATAGGAAATGGGGTGGCAAGCACAAGAGACCTGTTCTGATATTAGACATATTTGCACTCAATCTGCCTTTCTGTGTCATGATGCAGATTCAAATTGGACATTTTTGGAATTATGACTTATGTTCTAAACTGAGGGGGGTTTCTTTGTTGATACAGGAATGATAAGATGAGCGTTAAGCATGTTTTCTAATAAAAGAAATTTCCAATTGATCAGAGAAATAGAAATATTTCCTATACATGTTGGTCACAGTAGATAGGTCTGTGTTAATTTTTGTTTCAGGACCTGCTTTATCTTCCAAAGGTCTCTTCCAAATTGTTAAATGTGTCCAAACCAATCAAGCAATCAGTCAACCAATCAATTAATCAACTAACCGATAAGATATTTTAGAAAAGTTCCAGAGGGCAATTTCAAAGTTGTTGTTGTTGTTAGGTGCCATCAAGTCAATACCGACCCATAACGACCTTATGCACAGCAGAACGAAACACTGCCCGATCCTGGGCCAACCTCATTGTTGTTGCCACGCTTGAGTCCATCGATGCTGCCACTTGGCCAATTCATCTCATTGGGGGCTCTTCCTCTTTTCCTCTGACCCTCCACTATACCAAACATGATATCCTTCTCCAGCGACTGGTCCCTCCTGACAATATATCCAAAGTATGAGAGATGAAGTTTGGCCATCTTGGCCTCCAAGGAGCACTCTGGCTGCACTTCTTCCAAAATGGATCTGTTGGTTCTTTTGGCAGCCCATGGCACTCTCAATATTCTCCTCCAATACCATAACTCAAAAGCATCATTTCTTCTGTGATCTTCCTTATTCACTGTCTGGCTTTCGCATGCATATGAGGTTACTGAAAATACCATGGCCTGGGTCAAGGGCACCTTAGTCCTCAAGCTGACACCTTTGCTCTTCAACACTTTAAAAAGGTCTTGTGCAGCAGATTTGCTTAATGAAATACATTGTTTGATCTCTTGACTGCAGCTTCCATGAGTGTTGATAGTTGAGCCAAGTAGAATGAAGTCCTTGACAACTTCAATCTTTTCTCCATTGATAAGAATGTTGTTTGCTCCTAATTCTTTTCCTTTACAGATATTTTTACTCTTGTAATGACTTATCTAATTAGTTAGATTGGTTTATTTGGAATCTATTTATTTGTAGTCATTTTTTGGGATGGAGGGCATGACTCTAATTCCATGACAATGGATATCTTGTTTTTGTTCACGCTTGGTTTTCTAGTATATTCTCTGTGGTTGGCACAACACTTGACACACCAGAATCCCCTAACTAAGAAGGACATCATGCTTGGTAAAATGGAAGTCAGCAAAAATGAGAAAGACCCTCCAAAGATATGTATTGATGGAGTGACAGCATTAATAGGTTCAAATATAACAATTTTGAGGATGGTGCAGGATTAGGCAGTGCTTTTTTTAGGTTGTGCAGAGGGTAGCCATGAGACAGAGCCAACTTGATGACACCTAACAACAACAAATTCATTTACAGCATCGTTGGGAAGATGACATACACTATGAAAAAGTAGTTAAGAATGCTAGGAAATAAAAGAATGATTGTTGTGAAGTGCTGTCGAGTTGATTCCGACCCATAGTGACCCTGTATAGGGTTTCCAAGGAGCAGCTGGTAAGCGTGAACCACCAACCTTGCAGTTCAAATGACTTTGCAGTCTGATGCATTAACCCACAGCACCACACCAGGACTCCAAAAGAATGGTAAGGTAAGTAAATGATAATGATTATGTAAACTCTGGATAGGAAGAGGTCACTTTATGTTGGGATGAGATGCTGAGAGAAAGGGTACTGCAGGAGGGAGGGAGGGAGGCGATAGTGTAAGCAAAGGTGAAGAGAGACGCAGGAACTGGAAAGGACAGCTAGAGTCAGGGATATCACTGTAGACCCATTTGATGGCAGTTGATGATCATCTAGAAAAATCATGAGGATAAAGTTAAAATGGCAGACTTGGGCCAAATTGTAAAGAATCCTGTAATGGTTAGAGTTAAATACAATTTGTTATTTTAGGTAAGATGTATATTTAGAAGTTTTGCAACATGTGAATGTCACAATGAGAACAGATTTTTCAGAGGATTTATTTGTTGTCGGATGGGGCTTGGATGGATGGTTTCCTGTGGGAGGAGGGACTGTAGCTTGGAGCACAGAGTTAAAGGGGACAGTTATAGTTACAGGCACAGGCTTTGAATCATACAGTTTGAATCAAAGGGCTTGAGAACTCGCTCCTCCATCTACTGTGATATGATTTGAGGCAGGTTACATAACCTCTGTAACCATCAGTTTCCTCATCTATAACCAGGAATACTAATAATACATAGGAGTCATGGTGTGATGCTTTAGGATAAGCACTGGACTGCTAACAACTAGGTTGGCAGTTCAAACCCACCAGCTGCTCCTTGGAAACCCTATACAGGGTCGTTCTGAGTTGGAACCAACTTGACAGCACTTGGCACTTAACAACAATTGTACCTAGGGGTCCTGGTGTGGTGTTGCAGGAGCAGCACTAGACTGCTAACTGAAAAGTGGGCAGTTCAAATCCACCATTCGTTCTTCAAAAACCCTACACAGGGTCACTATCAGTCAAAACCACCTTGATGACATGCAACAACAACAGTAGGACTTAAGGAACCCTGGTGGTGTATTACTTAAATACATGGTTGATAATTGAAAGGTCAGCAGCTCGAACCCACCAGCTGCTCTGAGGGAGAAAAGACCTGACAATTTGTTTCCGTGTAGATTACAGCCTCGGAGACCCTAAAGTCTTAGAATTCTTCTTTGTCCTTTTGGGGTGCTGTGAGTTGGAATTGACTTTTTGGCACCCAACAATAGTGTTTCAGTCTGTTGTTGTAATGATTGGTTGTGATGCTGTACTAAAACTCTTTAGTGCAGTGCTTGGCACAAATTAAGTAAGCCCCAATAAATAATAGCTACTTTGACAGTTATTGCTGGGAGGACAATGTGTTAGCCTCCATCCGGTGTGAAGTGATATGAATCTAATGAGGGTGACCACTAACAAGGAAAAGAATGGACAAATGAGAGAATTTTACAAGGAAAAATGGCCAGGATTTTCTGACCTATGGGACTGAGAAGGAAAAACTCTCTCTTGTGGTTCCTGCTGGATGACTGGGAAAATAACAAACATAGGAAGATGAAGAAGTTGGTTTTGGAGTAAATCTAATACTTGGGATATGCAGTGAAATTTATGAACATTCTAAGAAAAAACCCAAGCCAAATACTTTAAAAACTGTTGTGTGTGTGCGAGGAATTTTTATTCCTTTTACCATTTATTATGGTATGGTGCTGTAGGATAAGCACTGGTCTGCTAACTGGAAGTTTGGCATCTCACACCCATCAACTTCTCCTTTGAAACTATGAGTTAGGAACTGACTGGAAGGCACTTAACTACAACAGCAATGCTGTGTCAAATGTTGTTTGCCTGAGGCATACATCTGAAGATGAAGCTCTGAAGTGTAAACCTCTTCAAGTAACATCAAGAACAATACCTTTTTTGCCAGGTGGCTGGCTTCCACAGCAATGTCTGTACCAGAGTTACCCATTCCAATCACAAGGACACACTTGTCCTTAAATATATCTGGATGCTTATATTCTCGGCTATGAAAGTATTGGCCTTTAAAAGCTTTTATACCTGTAGAAAGAAAAATTAAGAAATAGCATCATAAATTTACCAAATCGATGAACGAAACACAAGTATTATTGGATTGATAGTATCCATTTGAGGGATGGTTTAAATTATTTTTAGGTGTGGCGCTGTGGGTTAATGTGCTGGACTGCAAAATCGGTTTGAACTACTGTTCAAGCTCACCAGCTGCTCCTTGGAAACATACGGCATCACTATGGGTCAGAACTGACTTGACGGCACTCAACAACAACATTGAAATCTAAGAAAATCTGGACTATAAATACATGATAAGGCACAGAAAGTAGCAAGTGATTATTTAATGGGGGTAATTATTTATTTCATTCTATTAAACACGCCTTCAGTTTTACCTATTAGAGCATTAACTTGTAAATGGAAATACTGTAGCATAAAGACATACTAAGCAAAAGTGGAAGGAGTCATTACCATTTACAGATTGATGAAAGTCAATGGTACGGCAATATTCTATTTACCAACAAGGAGTCCCTTGGTGGTGCAGACGGTTAAATGCTTGACTGCTAATTGAAAGGTTGGAGGTTTGAGTCTACCCAGAGGTAACTTGGAAGAGAGGTCTAGGGATATACTTGCAAAAAATTAGTCATTGAAAACCCTGTGGAGTACAGTTCTACTCTGACACATTTAAGTTATAGTTGTCTCATTGGCAACTGATAAAAGAAGAGTACCTGGGCAGTGCATATGGTTAAGCATTTGGATATTTATCAGAAGGTTGGTGGTTCAAATCCACACAAAGATGACTCAATCTACTTCTGGAAGATAACCAAAATCAATCATGCTGCTGTTGAGTTGATTCAGACTCATAGAATACAACTGTCCCATAGGATTCCAAAGGCTATTAATCTTTATTGAAACAGAGTGCTACATCTGTCTCCAATGGATTTCAACTGACAACATTTCAGTTAGCCGCTAGCACCTACCCATTGTTAAAGCAAGTCTCCTTTCTGAAAGATCACAGCCATTGGAAGCCCTATGGAGTACATAATGTTGCCATGGTTTGGAATCAGCTGGACAGCAACTAGTTTTATTTTCTTGTTTGTTTTTTCATGAACAAGAAACAATAGCAAGAATGTAAAGAGAACTATGAGCAAATACTTCTACTCTAATCATCAAACTGTTTTAGACACCAGTGTCTGGCGCTGCACTAGATGATGCGGGGGAAATGGGATAAATAAAACGTGTCTCCTATTCTCAAAGATCCCTGAAAGTTGGGGCAGTTCACTTTAATGACTGAGTATAACATAGACCATATTTGCTGAGTCAGCCAGTATTGGCTTTGAGAGAAAAAGGATTACATTAGTTGCACAGGAATTAGATCTACTAGTTTTATCTGATAAGATATCTTAAGTAATTGATACCAAATCTCATTAAAATATCAAATAAAAGTGGAGAGAGTTTTGAAAAATACTCTCAAGAGGGTTTTACACAATTAGAAATATTTCATGGACAAAGAATATGTTTTATCAAGAAACAGAGATAAAACATCTAGATTTTCTCAAATGATTAATGTGGATGCTATGGGAGGTGGCCTTACCAAGACCTGGTGGTTCTTTATTTCATCAAAATAATTAGAAATCTAGCATGAATCTCAGATAAAACCCAACCACAATCTAGAACATTTAGAATTTAACAAGCTTGCAAACAAGTTCAAACATTAACACAGCACAGTCTCAGTACTGCTGAGGAGAAGAGCTGGAAAAGCCTCCAGGGAATCTCAGAATTATCTGTAGATCTTAGATTGCCATGTTGTTGTTAAGTGTCGGTTCCCACCCATAGCGACCCTGTACAGGGTTTCCAAGGGTGTAAATCTTTACGGGAGTAGAAAGCCTCATCTTTCTCCCACGGAGCAGCTGGTAGTTTCGAACCACTGACCTTAAGGTTTGCAGCCCGATTCGTAACCACTACGCTACCAGATCTTCTTAGAGTTTCTCTAAATCAAACTGCTTTGGTTAAAAGTGAGCAAAAGCCAGACTGTGGCTGAGTCTAATTTAGGGTGTTTCCCCCTGCTTTTTCACAAAGTGAAGACATTTATTAGAAGAATTTGATTTTGTTAGTAAATACACCAGCAAGGATGAAACCTGAATAAATAAAAGCACTCATCTTGGGAAGTTCCACAATTATTCTCACTAAAATGCCCATTATCTTTACTGAGACTTCCAGGAATGCCTTATTTCGCAATTTCACCAGAGTTTATGACATATTAAAAAAACATCTGCAGTGAATTTGAAATCTTTAATAGTTAACAACGACCCCAGGGAGTTAAGTACAGACTAAGCAAGTCTGTTGTTAGCCAGGGAAGGGAGATGGCAGGGTTGGGGGATTCTAGTTCAAACTTAGAATCATATAATTTTGGAACTCAAAGGAGACTTAATATGGAGCTGGGCAGGGATTTCAGATGGTCAGTTGGTAGTTTCAGGTGAGGCAAACATATTGAAAAGGACTACAAGATCCATAGAGCTTGCATGTTTGAATTGTGTTGTACACTGTCGGGTAAAGTGGTCCAAGACCTGCAATTTATGGGTGAAATAACAAAGGCTTAGAAAAATTAAATGGCAGGCCCACGACGTCCTTTTCAGTTAGTGGTGAAATGTAGAATCTGCACTTCCATGGTCTCAAGATTATACTTTTCAAACTGAGCACATTGTCTCTGTTGTTTTCAGGTTGTACATTACCCTAATGTGATCTGACTTGAGTGACCTTTGGGGTTAGATCAAGGACCTTTGGAAATTTGTGAGTTCATTGTAAGATGAGGCTTAGAACTACTACAGACCATATCAAGACTGTAATTCCTCCACTGAATTCCCATAAAATTCTATTCATTCATACAGAGTATTGTTATTTGTTGTTAGCTTCCATGGAGTTTGTCCCAGATCCATGGCACCCCCATGTACAATGAAGTGAAATGTTGTCCAGTCCTCTGGCAGTACCATGATTAGTGGCAGATGGAACTGCTGTGATCCATAGGTTTTTAAAACATTGGCTATCTGTCAGAAGTAGATTCAGCATCATTGTTAAGTGCCATAATGTCGGTTCTGACTAATGGCAACCATGTATAGGGTTTCTGTGAACAGCTATTAGGTTTGAACCATTGATTTTGCTGTTAGCAGTCCAGTGCATATCCTACAATGTCACACTGCAAATCATCATTGACAGATGGGTGGTTGCTGCATACGAATTGCTCTGGCAGGGAATCAAACTCTGCTCTCCCATACGGAAGGCAAGAAGTCTACCAATACAAATAATATAATCTCTTGTCCACCTCTTTAGGCTTAGTACCAAGTACAGTATACTATTGGGGTTGAGTAAATGTAGTGTAATCACTAGACTATGTAGTTTTCTATTCTAGTCACTGCTTCCTGGGAGCATTAAGTGCTGGCTACTCAACACTTTGCTCTGTAGACAAGAGTTGATAAAGGATTGAGTTGTTTTGTAGTGTGGTGAGTGTCTACTGCTGAATGTGTTTAAGCAGAGGTTGTTGAGCCTCTAAGGAGCCCTTGTGTTGCAATGGGTTAAGCATTAGTTGGTGGTTCAAACCCAACAGCTACTCCGTGATGGAAATAAAGATGAACAGTCTTGGAAATCCTTTGGAGCAGTTATGGTCTGTTCTATAGGGTCACTGGGTTTGGTTTTGGTTTTGCTTGAGCCTCACTTACAGGTGTTGGAGAAGACGTATTTCCTGCATTGGAAGCACACTGACTTTGGTGCTTTTCAATTTAATGATTCTATTCTATGCTGTAAGAGAAGTGCTTCTCTGCTAACCACAAGGTTGGCGATTTGAACCCACCCTGTTCCTCAGGGGAAAGATGAGACCTTCTGCTCTCGCAAAGATTTACAGCCCCGGAAACCTTTTACAGCGTCACTATGAACCGGCACTGATTTAATGGCACTTAATCACAATACCAACAACATTCTGTAATAGTTTCAGTTTGACTAAGGAAAGGATCCCTGATGGCTAAATGTATAAGCACTTGACTATTAACTGAAAGGTTGGTGGTTAGACTCCATCAGATGCTCCATGGGAGAAAAGACATAGTTCTTCACTGCCATAGAGAATGCAACCCAGAAAAAACCCTGTGGGGACGTTCTGCTCTGTCCTGCAGTGTCACTGAGTCAGAATCAACCTGACAGAAAACAGCAAGAACAATTAGAAGAAAAGTTTCCTAGTTTTAACATTTTGATTTCTTACTACAGATGAAGTAAGCCAAATCATTCCATTCTCAATGCCCTCTGAGATGCAATCCAGTTGAATTTTGCCATGGATTAACACAAATGATTGAGAGATCCAGATAAAGAAACTGAGGCCCAAATATGTCTTAACTTCCCTCCCAAGACTCATCTCCCTCTGGCCTGTTGAACCTTTGCCATAAGCCTCTAATGTAGCTGATTGCTGTGGCACATACCATACAAACACACATACCACACACACAAACAAATATAATGCTTTCTTTACTGATTGACCTTTGTAGCTTCTACTGTCAACTTTGGTTACACAGCTTTTGCTGAGGTTAGCAACTTGCCTAAGTAACTATGCCTTAGAAGATCTCCTGAGGGACACTGAACCTCACTGAAACATGAAACTGCTTATTAAGTTATCCATCCTATTCTTTGGTTACTCATATGTTGTTTGCAATGATATTCTTCAGATGAAAACCAGAAACTGGCCAGAAAAATGCTGGTTAGAAAGAAAACCCTGTGACCTCTTAACTTTACTTGATGGGTGAGCCACAGGAATTGGTTCCCAGAGCAGTCACATATCAGGATAGCTCCCAAATGACAACTCAAGGTCAGCTATAAAAAATGCTGTACCTGGAAAGGAGTCCAGGGGCAAACTTGGATTAGTAAGAAAACCAGTGCAGACCATGACAGCATCAAAGACAGCGGACTCTTGCTTCCCTTCATGTAGAGTGATCACATCCCATTGGCCAGAGACAGAAAAATCTGGGCGCTTTGTTATACTGCAGACTTTGGTCTGAAAGAAGAATCATAGACACAATTAGTACTTCGCGTGGTTCCAGTCAGGGCTTCCTGGATGATGTACTAGTTGACATTTGAAACATACTAGAGCAGAGTAAACATGATTAATAAGAGAGTCTTCAAAACATAATCAAGCTACCAGGATAATTATAATTTTCTAGATGGAAGGGCTCTAAGGTTGCAGTTGTAGAGGGGTGTCTAAGAGAAGTAGGGAGGTCCCCAAAGTTTTAAGTGACTTGCTCAAATTCTGATAGCAAGTGATAGAATCAAGATTATAATGAGGTTTTCTGATAATTTTTTTTGTTTTTCTTCCTTTATGCAACCCTGTTTCTCAGAATTTTCTCTTCAACAACAGTGTCATTAATGGAAACATGGATAACAAATGATTTAAAAACAGAAATTTAGCCCCAAGTATCTTATGAATCAGACTGCTAATGTGGTGCTATAGGAGAAACCCTGGACTGTGAATCTCAAGGTTGGCAGTGCAAACCCACAAGTAGCTCCTCGGAAGCCATATAAGGGGTTGCTATGAGCCACAGCTGATTTGATGGCACTTAACAACAACAACAACAGTCTTGTGAATCTGTTGCTGAATTTTCCCCATATCTAGAAAATTATTGAAATGTGATAACCTTATAGCTTGAATTTTTTTTGAGTAACCCAAATTTGAAGTAGTCTATTTTTTGTTTTGTTTTCCATTGAGCATATTTATATGTCCATGAATACTCAATTCTGATTTAGGAAATATTTATACATTTAACAGAAGTCAAATTTCAAAGCATAAATAATCTGAGCAAAAGGCTTTGCTGCCTTTCTTTCCTTTTCAGAATTTTGAGAGTCAGGCTTTCCAAGTTTTTTAAAATTCATTTGCTGTTTTTAATTAGTTTGCTGTTTGGTTTATATACCTACTCTTAACTTACTGAGATGGTTAATTTCCAAAGGCCAGATCATTATGTGAAAACTGGCATTATGCAAAAAGTGAAAGATGACCACATCATATCACAAAATGGAGAAAGACTACATCAATACATAACTGCAAAATACATCATTACACAACTGCAAACCCCCAGAAAATCATAGACCAGCCAAGTTGACACATAACCTTGACCATGAAAGCCAGCATTATTCTCACCTAGCACCCTGCTATTCATTATTGCCAGGTGTTTGTCATTAATATACAAAATTGTCAATATAGTAGATTTTTTTTACTATTTCCGTAACAACACAATGTTAGATGGTAATATAGTTTATAAATAAGGAATTGATGTACTATTTGAAGTGCTTGTTGGGTTTCTACGTTTGTATTAGCAGCTGTATTTGTTTTGTCTTTCAAAAGTACATCTTTAGTTAATTAAAAATCTTTAAAAATAAAATTTATTTTTAAGTATAAAAAGATTAAATTTTCATTAATGGAAATTTGGACTATATAGGGAGAAAAAAGAAATGAAACCAAACAAAAATCAACCATAGACCACCTCTTAGAGACACTTACTTATGTGTACTTTCTTAAAACTTTGGTAATGTCTTCTAGCTTTTAAAAATGGTTTTAAAACACAGTTTAAAGTTTGAGCAACATGTGAAGGAAATGCTTCAGATTCAGGAATTCTGGTGAATTTACTTAAAAAACTTATGTGGATCATATCCATCTACTATGATAGTACTTTATTTTTACTAGTACTTTATTTCAAAATAGAAAGTGGAATAAAATGCTCCTTGGAAAACTGGGCAGGAGTACTTTAAGACTGTGAACCTTATATGCTACTTGCTTTGTTCAGTCTCTCCATTCTTGCTGCTTTCTCTGTATAATTCCCAAGAATGTCTCCCCATGGCCATTTCTGATAGGACAGGGAGATAGGAGAACTAGAACACATATTTCTTAGAGTGATTTGTGATTTTTTTCTTTTCCTTTTTTTTTTTTTTTTTTAATGAGGGAGGCAAAAAAAGAAAAACCAAGAGGAGAATGAGGATACATTCATTTGTCCCAGGCCTGCTGCCTTCCTTCTGTCTCCATCCTCTGGAATGGGAAGGGAAGAATGTAAAACCTATTAGAAGAATGGCAGACAGATGTTTCTATTCCCAAGAATATCTAGAACAGATCTCCTTCAAGAAGCAAAGTGATCTTGTCTATTGGCCATTACACAAATCCAGTCCTATAAATGGGATAGTCAAGAAGATAATATCCAGGGGACAAGTATCCTTATATGCAAGAGATTAACCTGAGCTGAAAAACTAGTTTGAAATTTTCAGTTCCTTTAGGATATTTGGGTATAAGCATTGCAATTTAAAAATGCTAAAAACGTATGCGTGTGAGTGTTTACACAAATAAAAAGTGTCTCCTCCATTCCAGATTGACTTGGGATGGGAAGCAGGCATAAAGGTTAAAGGAATTCAGTCATGTATTATTAATCTTGCTACTTCATTTCTTCTAGGAGAGAGATAATAGAAAATAGCTAGGAAATACTTCCTAACTGCTGACTGATGGGTAGTATCTTACCTTGAATTGGATACATTTGTGAAGGTTGAACTGGTTTGCATACTTTTTGAGATATTCCAGGAATAGAGAATTTGGCACATAGTTTGGATAATCATCTGGGAATGGAAAGTCTGAGTAGCAAGACATCTCCTTGCAGCTGTTGGAAACTACAGACTTGTAGAGACTGGCTCTGCCTTCTTCCACATGTTCCTGTACAAATAGTGCACACACATAAGTATATAAATGTATGCACACACACAAATAAATCAGTGTTAATTTTCAGGAACTTCTAATACTGAACAAGTTTAAGGTAACCCCAAAATATATGTTACCTGCCACCTTTCCAATGAGATTTGTTGGGGGGTAATGAACATTGGATCCCAGTAAGAGTTTTGTGATGAGAATTTAAATTTCATTCATGACATGTTATCAAGTAAAACTAGGACCAACTCACTTGTCCAGATTCACATAGTACCATTGAGATACTGACTACAAAATATAGCATAACATGCAAATAGAGAAGAGTCAGGAACTAGTGTTTGGATGGTGGACAGTTGCTAGGTGTTTTGGTTTCATAGATGTGTTGTTGAATGGATTATGGAGAAGAGGGGCTCAAATTATAAAGGATATTATATCCAAAATTAAGGAATTTGGGTTTTATAGGAGGATTAGGATAATCCACCAAATGTTTTAAGCATGGAAGTGATTCATGTTAGATTTTGGGATGATCTCTCTGGTTTACAGAAGATAAATTATTTGGGGCTGGAAAGGAATGAAGGTGGCCAATTAAGAGCCTAGAACACAAATCCATGTAAATGAGGGCCTGAGCAAGGACAATGGATTTGAGAGGGGGAAAATTTGTGAGATGGCAGTAAGAAAGAATGCATCAGTTTGTGAGACCAGTTGGACTTAGGGTGTGGGAGATGAAAATGATCACAGATGTCCAGGAACAGTTGTGTGTATGGTGTACCACTAATGAATTTTGCACCCCAGTTTTGACTTAAACAACTTATAAACATCAACAGCTCATAAGACTATCAACAGGTTGGATAGTAAGCTGATTTAGTAATGTCTTTAATATACGTTGTCTCTGACTTTTGGATGGTATTATGGATGATTTTTCTTCTGCTTTTAATGTGAAGGTCTTTAGTATCTTATTATTTTTCATCTTGTCCCCTATTCCTGTGAAATAACAACAAAAAAAAATTATTTGTGTGAACAAGTGGAAAGATGAACATAACCTCACAAATGGAGAGGGCATGACTCTAAATCTGCATGCAATCTATGGCTACCATTCAAAATAAAATTATAAACATAACTCTGTGGTTTGAATGAATGCATCAGCTAGTATGACCTGACTCTTACAGAACACCCTACTTATCTGTGACCTCAGTCAGCCTAGAAAACTGCAAGCTTCGGCTTCTCAGAAAGATGACTAAATCCTACTCTTTCATGCTGCAGGAAGAAGTAAAGCAGTTCTACTCAAAACTTGAGTCTGCAGATAGGTACGATATAAACTGTTTGTTACCAGACTTTGACAACATAAGTACGGAAATTGAGAGTATGCATTTAAAAACTTTATGGCAGTAATTTGGCTTTGCCCAGTAGCCAAATGTGGACTCCTTTATGTGGAACATGAAAGAGCAGATATTTTGTTTTGTGTAATTCTTGCGATGAATTGCATGAGATTTGAACTGTGTCCTAGTCATGTGCAGTAAGACTGTACTAAAACCAGAAGCACACAAATCTGCTGCAGTTGGGTTGATTGCAATGTATGGTGACCAAGTGTTATAGAGCAGGACTGCTCATCAGGTTATCTTGGCTGTGATCATTATAGAAGCAGATCACTGGTACTTCCTTCTGTGTCATGATTGAGTGGATTCAAATGCCAACCTTTAGGTTAGTTTTGGTTGTTAAGTGTCTTTGAGTTGGTTCTGATTCATAGAAATCCTGTAAAGAGTTTCCGAGGAGCAGCTGGTGGGTTTGAACCACTGACCTTGTGAGTCGCAGTCTGGTGCTGAGCCTACAGTACCACACCAGGAATCCTTTAGGTTGGTAGTTGAACACAAACTGTTTGCTCTACTCGGACTTTATGACTACATTGTTGTTGTTGTTGTTAAGTGATGTCCAGTTGATTCTGACTCACAGTGGCCCTGAATAGCGTTATTGAGGAGAAGAT